ATTCCTGGGGAGCCCTGAGTGCCATGTTACAACTATGTTCTATCGAGTGTTCAGTACCTGGTGTTTCAGAAGTACTGTATGAAGCCTTTCTTCAGAGATGCCTCTGGGTGGGTTCAAACCTACAACCCGTTGGTTAGAAGCCATTTGTTAACCATTGATTCCACCCAAGCACTTCCTTATGTCTGCTAGGCAAATGGAAACATTTTCAACTAGAGGAGGTTGGAGAGTTGTATCTTGATCATTTTACTTTCAGAATTGCTCCTCCTTTTACTATTACTACCTCAATAATTGCTCAATAAATACCTCAATAATTTCTACCTTGATATATCATCTTAAGATTATTTCACATCCATTCAGAAAATTAGCCAACTGTTTCCTTTGCCCCATGCCACATCTACTCTGTTAGATGCCTCGATAGAGAAGACACACATGTTTAGCTGGGCAGCCTTTTTCACTGATTTATAAGCATGTCAAGGTTGAAAATTATTGTTTTGAATTTTCTAAAACACAGTCATATCCGTTTTTTCATTTTCTCCTCACCATGATCTATGGAAGACGTTATTGGCTTCATATTGTACAAAGGAAGAAATTCAGTTAAAGAATGATTCAATTGCTCGTTGAAAGTGATTGCCTTTAATTTGTGGAGTCATTAAGGGAAGGTAGGTATTCTGATGTTAAGTGTTTTATGTTATCATCACCTAAGTTTACTTCACCCCATCTTCTTTGGATGGATGAACAATACATAGTTCTGTCTTGTGGTTGTTCATAACTGTTCCTATCTTCTTGTCTTTCCAATGGATATGAAATAAACAGAAGATAATGGCACTAATTAATGAAAGCCACCCTGAAGAATTCCTTCTACTAGGCTTTGCTGACCATCCATGGCTGGAGCTTCCTCTCTTTGTTATTCTTCTGATAACATACCCTCTGGCCATGCTGGGAAACATCGCCATCATTCTGGTGTCCAAGTTAGATTCCAAGCTCCACAGCCCCATGTATTTCTTCCTCACCAACCTCTCCTTTCTGGACATGTGTTACACCACGAGCATTGTCCCGCAGATGCTGGTGAACCTGGGAAGCGCTAAGAAGACAATCAGCTACATGGGCTGTGTGGTTCAGCTGTATTTCTTCCACACGATGGGTGGCACAGAGTGTCTGCTTTTGGCTCTCATGTCTTTTGATCGCTATGTGGCCATCTGCAGGCCCCTCCACTACAGCCTCATCATGAATCAGCAAACCTGTATCCTATTAATATCCATTGTGTGGCTGAGTGGAATGACCTATGCTGTCTCACAGGGTACTGTTACATTACAGTTACCACTCTGTGGTCACAACACCCTGGATCACTTGTTGTGTGAGATTCCTGTTCTAATAAAGACTGCCTGTGGTGAAAAGAATGCAAATGAGCTCACACTGTCTATGGTGTGCATTTTTATAGTAGCTGTTCCACTCAGCTTAATTCTTGCTTCATATGCTTGTATAGGACATGCTGTGTTGAGGATTAAATCTTCTGAGGGAAGGAAAAAGGCTTTGGGGACATGTTCCTCCCATCTCCTTGTAGTTTTCTTATTTTTTGGCCCAGTGATTAGCATGTACCTTCAGCCCCCCTCTTCCATCACAAGAGACCAACCCAAGTTCATGGCGCTCTTCTATGGAGTGGTGACTCCTACACTCAACCCCTTCATCTACACCCTTAGGAATAAGGATGTGAAAGGGGCATTGGTTCACCTGATGAGGAGGATTTCCAATTCCAAGTGAAAAATTGTAGACATCAAATAAATTTATATAACAATTAGGTTTGTATATGATTGTCTTCAATAAATCAGTGTTGTCTCATAATTCACAAAATTTCTTGTTAGATGATGCTCTTACAATATATGTCATGCTTCTGATGTTTTTAATAGTGTAGCCATATAGATTTAAAATGAATTTTTCTCAAGGGTGTGTCCTTTATAAGAAAATGTGAGAGTGCTTGCTGGCTTTTTGCTTGGTCTAGATCCTGCATTGAGCTTGTTAATCTCCAGTTCCTTGGACTTGAGCAAACAGCCTGTCACATTGCCTGCCAATTGTATAAAAAAGGCATCACTAGTTTTACTTCTTTATAGAACTCCATCTAAAATGTATATGTATTTACCATTTCCACATTTTAGTTGACATGAATTGCATTCATCACGTTACGTAACCATCACCACCATACATTACTAATTTTCATGTCCTTAAC